AAATATATTTGCATATGTACATGTCTTTATCTAGACCTCTATAAATGCCCTTTGCCTCCCAGCTCTTTCCTCTATTTCCCTTGATTTTCCTCCTGACCCACTATCATGCTCAGTCCCCACCAGGGTTTCAGCACTTCCCCTTTGTTACATTCCCCTTGATCATGCCTTACCAGGCCTCCCACACCCACCTCACCACCAATTTGGATCACTTGTTGTAAGGGACTTGAAATTATGATGTTTTTCATATGGACAAAATAAGAGAAAGAGAACTGAATTTGATGATCCAAGACTCTAGAATAAATAACTTGGTGACACAACTCAGAAGCATGATCACTTACTGTATATAATCTAGTATAAGCCGACCCGAATATCAGCTGTGGCACCTTATTTTACATTAAAAATATGCTGAAAAACTCGGCTTATACACGAGTATATACAGTAATTGCTTTTTCAAATGTTTTGACTGGTTTTTCTTTTCCTATGCAATCCCTCTTGCTTCCTTCTAAGCCACCAAAGAGTGTCACTAACAGAGGTATAAGAGGTGGGGACCAGAAGAGTAGGACATGCAGGTACCTTATGTACTACTGTGGTGAGATTTCTATGAAATCTTCCATGGCCACTTTTATTTCTAACTTAAATACCTCCTCCCTTCTCTCTTTCTCTTTCATTTAATTAAAAAATAAAGGTCTATTTGTTCTAAAAAAAGTATACTATAAAACAAACAAAATATACATTGAGATTTCTCTTTTATTCCTGTTAGTATTTTGACAAATTGCTTTCTTTACAATTTGCTGTGAAAACACACACACACACACACACACACACACACACACACACACACACTTTGTTGTTTACCAACAACACAGAATGCATATTGTTCATCAACATCTTTTTTTCACAAGAATATGTAATTGACATTTTTCATGTTAACACACGTAGGTCTTCCTCATTACTTTTAACACCTATACTCTTTTTACTTTTCTGTACTGATGAAAAATCATTATAGACCAAATTGGACTTCAGTCTGATGTTTCACAATTCTATACCTTTGACAATTTTGCAATGTTTCCTACAATCACACATTCATGTTCTGTATCAAGTATGCTTTGAGATAAGTTGAGGCAGCCTCCCCTCCCAGCGTTTCCCCCAAAGTTTTGCTTACGTCTCTTATGTGCATTCCCTTTCTTCTGAAACAGATGAATAGCAAACATGCAGGAAGCAAGAAACAGGCTTCAGTTTTTGGACCTCATAGCCACATTTGCACATAAGAGGTAGCCTCCTCATGGAGAAGTCTTTTTATATTGCAGTAATTGTCATCCTGGGAGCAGCTGTTTGGAGTCCTCTCAAGAGAGTGCTGTACATGAACAAGTCTGGGGAGAGAAAAATGCTGTTTCCCTTGCTACAGGGCCATGGGAACATCAGACAAACAAGAGGGAAGATCAAGTTATGTCCTGGGAGCCTTCCACTACCTCGCAGTGCCTTCTGCAGGCAGCGTCTTGTCGCGATGATGATGACATTATTGATTTCAGAGATCGTGTTCCCTATTTTGTGTCCAGGCAGAGCCAAGATGTGGTGATAGTTTAGAAAGAACAAATATGATAATATCATTACTTCCTGGTCCTATATCAATAAGAGCCAGAGTTTGCTTGCTTTAGGTAAGTCAAAATTATTTACTATAAAATGCTTAAAATTTGCAAAAAGTGTTCACATGCATGATCTCATTCTGGGTCTCACAATCAAGTGTGATCTTTAGACAGGATAGTTGTCTTGTCATTTATGGGCAAAGAAATTTAGTTCAGAGGTTAAATAATTTGTCCAAGCTGCAGAGATAGTAAGGAAAGGCATATGATTAGAATTTTACTTAAGGTGACTGAATATCCTGAGCTCCCTCCAGGATAAGAGCACATTTTTACTGGTCCACATCTTCTGGGAATAGCACAGATCTGGGAATAGCACAGATGGAATAGCACTCTTCCAGTGTGATAAATACCCCAATACATTTAAGATAACAGTATCATATTCAAATTTCTTCGTCGACTCTGACTTATTATTACATTTTGTTTAGCTTTTTGGTTTTCTCAGCAGTTGCTATATATATCCCAAGGGCTCAGTTACTTAATAATTAAACAGCAACCAAGTTGATCAAGATTTTTCAGTAATATAATTTTAGAGATAGAGCAACTGAAAAAACCTAAGGAAATTTCCTGTAAAAAGGATTTCCTGTAGCACTTCTAAACTTCAGAGATAAATAAAAGCTTTACTGGAGCTTCTTTAGCGGGAGTTTCATGTTTGAAAGTAAATCCGTAAAGTATATATATCCTTAAAGTCAGGTTTGAAAATAAATTACAGACTTAGAAAGAGATAGAACTCTATCTGCAACCCAGTATTATGCCAGCTACAATACTTTTCACCAATTAAGTGCTAGAAAGAGTGTCTTAAACATTGTTGTAGTCCCTATATTTCTTATAATCGGAAAAATACTTTGAGGAGATGTACTGCATGCAGGGAATGTGGCATCAGGAGCAGAAGAAGCTCGTTAACAAAGAGTACTGTGCAGACGCACTGTTGCTTAGTGGAGGTGAAAGGACTTGAGGACTTGAAGCGTTTGCCGAGGAGGCTCCAAGATGACAGCCTTCACTATGGATTACAAGAAAACAAAAATCTGCCCAACTGGATCACCAAACACCGTAATGATAAATGGAGAAAAGATGGAAGCGGTCAAATAGTTCATATGATTTGAATTCACCAATCAATGTTCACAGAAGGAGCAATGAAGAAATCATACAATGGATTGCACTGGGAAAAAATCTTTCTGTAAAGACCTATGTAACGTGCTCAAGAGACTAGACATCATTCTGAGGACTAAGAAGGATCTGACCCAAGCCATGGCATTTTCAATGGCCTCCGAAGCCTGTGGAAGCTGAGCAATGAGTAAGGAAGACTGGAGATGGATGAGCTGATGCACTTGGATTATCGTGTTGCCAAACAATATTGAATGTATCAGGAACTGCCAGGAGAACAAAGTCCTTTTAGAGAAGTGTAGCCAGATTGCTCCTCAGCAGTGAGGTTATGGAGACTTGTATTTTGGATCTCTTATGAGGAGGGATCAGTCCTTTGGTAAAGCAGAGGGTCAGGGAAAAAGAGGAAGACCCTCAACAAGATGCATGAACACAGTGGCTGCAACAGGGGCCCAAACATAACTGTGAGGATGGCCCAGGACCAGGCAATGTATGTGTCGGAACCAACTTGTTGGCTCCTAACAGCAACAATAGCTCAGTACCTTGTAATGTTTGTGTTAGCTGCCGAGTCAGCTAAGACTCACAGAGATCCTACGGGGACAGATTGCCTGCATGAACAAGAGGATGACACGCTTCCTGGCGCTGTAGCATCTTCACAATTTCCAGAATGCTTTGACCCACCACTGTGGCTGTTGTGCCAATGTACCACACTGAAGGCCCCTTTCATTTGTGCTAGTCCTTGGCTTCGCCAGACTAAATGTCCTCCCATAGTGAGTCACTCCTCCTCGTGATGTGTCCAAAGCCAGCGAGGAGGACAATGTTCTGTTGTGATTGATAAGGTTTTCATTGGCTAATTTTGGAAGTATATCACCAGGCCTGTTTTCCAGGCCCGCCTTAGTCTAGAAGCTCAATTGAAACCTGTCCACTCTGCGTGCCCCTTTGTGCTTGAGATACTGGTGGTGTAGCTTCCAATAGCATAGCGACATGCACGTTATCACAGCACAACCAATGGACAAACAGGTGGTGGGTCTTGCACTTCGCAGCTAAATGAATAAGGATTGACCCTTATAAAGCACTTTCTATGTGCTGAGCATTGTTAAAAGCACTTTATAGAGAGTGTTTCATTTAATCCTCACAACAATCCTTCAAGCTAGACGCTATTATCACCATCTTCATTTTAGGGATGAGCAAACTCAGCCTCAGTGATTCTAAATCACTTGACTAAGGGCAGCTAGCAGAGCGAGGTTTGGTTTCGGTAACCTAGGACCAGTGTCGTGTTGGGGGCCCTTGCGTTGGTTCTGACTCACACAACCCCATGTGCAATAGAATTCAGTGTTGCCCAGTCCTGCACCAACCTACAACCATTGTGATATTTGAGCTCGTTGTTGTAGCCGCTTTGTCAATCGATTTCACTGAGGGGCTTCTTCATTTTTTGATGACCTGCTACTTTATCAAGCATGACGTCCTTCTCCAGGGATCGGCCTCTCCTGATAATATTTAACTGAATGTTCGTTATTCCTCAGAAATGATTTTCTTCAAGTAATGGGAAAGATGTGCATGTTTATATAACCCATATCTTTGTTTTCTTTCTCAGGCCAGCTGCGGTGAGGGGCAGGAAAAGAACGTGTTTGGAGCCCTGGGTTATTGGTCTCATCACCTTTATATCGTTGCTGGTCTTAGCAGTGTGCATCGGACTCACTGTGCATTATGTGAGATACAGTAAGTCAGAGCTGCCTTGGCATTATGTGCCTCGCCCACATAGTTCCTCACTTTTCATTCCTGTTTTTATTTCCCTCGGGCTTGCTTATTCATTCATTACTACTATGAGAGTTATATGAGATATGATAAAAAATAACTCTTCACCTGACTTTCCTCATTGAATTCTCAAAGGCCAAGGAGACTTCTGTTTTTCCAGCTTTGATGTAGTGATGCTTCCTTCTGGGAACAGCACCCTTGTTTGCATATTCACTCCTTTTAAACAGGGTTAATCACGGAGGAACACAGGACAGCTAGTGGAGGAACACAGTGTCTGTGTTGTTTGAGGTGCTAGGGCTATTGCTTTAATTTAAGATCATTCCAACACTTGACTGATGGATGCTGAACACAATTGGAGAGCAGAGAGAAGATGGTGCTGTTCTGTAATCGTAAGCTGGGAAAACGCTCAGAGCAATATTGCTGAATAAGTGCCTATTTATGTTACTTGAAATGCATTCTTGGGATGCATTGTATATGATTAAAGAGGACTGAATATGCTGAATAGGTTAATTATAAAGGGACCCACTCTCCGGTAATCAGGGATCTCAGTGCTTGGAGAACCATGAGTTGCTATGTTATTAGAAAGATCCTCAGGGTGCGTCAGAATTGTTCTTCCCCAAGGTAACAACCCTGCGAAGTTTCCTTCTACCATGCCTCAGCTTTTCATTAGTTGATGCAACTCTGACCTGTTGGTTTGATTTTCTCCCTCGCGACTAGATGGTGCTTTGATGTTCAAAACCCTATGAGCAAAGAAGTGATTCCTTGATGCTAATGCAATTAGCGATTTGGAGAAGGTGCTTTCCTGTCAAGAGAAATGGTGACACTGTAAACGGATTATCTTCCTCCATAATCACATACAAATTCAGCCTTAATTTTCAAAGGGAGGTGGATCATTTTGGGGTAATTTATGAAAAATAAAGCAAAATTTATTTTTTCAGGAATTTTCCCATATGCCCTTAAATTCTGGGTATCTGAATTTTGATAATGGAGATTTCTCTAGAGAGTGCCTGTAATAATAAAAAAGGACATCAGAAATATTCTTAAGGTTATATTATACTGAGTTCCATTATGTTATGAGCATTGTTGTACCTACCCCTGGATGATTAGGTTTGTGCAACATTCACTTTTCTAATCATCGAACCTAGAAGAATCCAGATATATATGACATATGCCATAATAGTTTATTGAATATTGGATGGAAAAATAAATGAATAACACTTAATATGGGGGATTTGGGGGGCATATTTTGCCTTATTTGGTGCCCACAGACCACTTAGGAATGCTCGCCACCTCCCTGCCATCATCTTGATACCAACTCATCGTGTCCATAAAGGGCAGGGAAGACCTTCCCCTGGAAGTTTCCAGAAGCAAAGGGAGAGGGGGGCGGAGCAGTGGGTGGGTGAGGGAATCTTTCTCCCTTGGAATTCTAGTGCCCCTACCACCTCTGTGAGAGAAAATACACCTTACTAATGACTTTTCTTCCGTGTCTTCTCAAGTGAGGTTTCAAAAGACTCACAAACCTGACTCACGGGAATACAATGAAAATCTGGCAAGACATTCCCAGACTCCGAGTCCACTTCCAGCACACCTGTGTGTGAATCCTTTGTTTTGATGTTGGAAAACCCACGATCTCCACCTCCCACACAGGCCACCTGAATCAATAGTGCTTGCTGTGATTATTCGTGACCTGTCTTCTGTTTTATGGAATGTAAACTCTGAGCAGAGTAGATACGGCACAGGATCATTTAGGAGCTGGCATGCCAAGATAATTAAAGCAAAGCAAACCCAAACCATCAGGTATAGAAGTGATAGAGATAAAGGAGTTTAGACGTAGGACAGGAAATAATCCTGTGATCCTATGTCAAGAAGTCCGGGAGCCCTGGTAGTGTGCTGGTTAAGTGTTGGCTCAGATCCACAAGGTTAGCCTTTCAAAACCACCAGAAGCTCCGTGGGAGAAAGACTGGACTTTCTACTCCCCAGGAGGGGGGTGTCACAGTGAATCAGCAGGGACAGTCATGCAGCCTCGGAGAGCACAGTTCATCTCCGGGATCCATTTGGACTGTATTTCTGCCCTCGCTGTGATTTAAATGACCAGAGGTAAACTTGTTATAAACAAAATTTTGCAGATATAAATTGACAAACTTGTTAGGAAATTACTAACAAGCCCAAGTTCATCTTTGTTTCGTAATGATTAGTATCGCCAACAATATTTTAAAAATAATTTAACAAGCCGCATAATTCTGAAAACTGGAGATGTGATTAGATGTTTATTTGCGGGCCAATTTGAGCGTATAAACCCAAACTAAATTCACTGGGGTGAGTCGAGGCTGATTCACAGCGAGCCTGTCGGACAGGGTAGGACCGGCCCGGTGTGTTTTAGAACCTGTGACTCTTCACCCGAGTAGACAGATGGGCCTTTCTCCGAGGAGCGGAGCGGCTGGTGATTTGCCAACTGCCGGTTTTATGTTCAGCAGCCTGGTGTGGAACCACCCTGCCACCAGGGCTCCTCATTTGAGTCTACAGAATAAAGTAGAATATTGAATTTAAATAATAAGCTGTTCATTAAGATGAACCACAGGAAGTCACCGATTTTTGACCATACTGGACTTAAACAAATGGCAATTACACATGGTTCAACCTAACAACAAAAACAGAAAAACAAGTTTAAGGAAGTAGGTGAGTCCCTGACTAGCATAATTAACATGCCCTGCGATGACAAAGGCGGAAGATTTTATCCACCCCGAGGTTCCTCCGAAGAAGGTTTGGAGAGCTACTTCTGAGAAACAACAGAAAACCGTGCGGCGCACCTTTGTATTTTGCCACACAAGAAGTACCACGCATCAGAGGACCGCTGTTTTTGAAGGAAAAGAAACGTTTGCTAATTGAACAGTTTTCTGAAACTGTTATCCTAAAAGACAGAACTAGCCTAAACTATAGGAATCCTTGCTCTGAAAGTTATAGTAAACAGTGAGACAGGTTTAAAAAATGTAGACATCCCAGAACAATAGCTTACAAAGACAGCTGCGAGCTACTTTACAATTCCAGTAAACTAAATATTTTGTGAGAAATCATGTGTATGGCTAAGGACCTTCCAGTATTCCACTTCTCTCTCTGCTGCGGGCAAGGTAGGGTCAGCAGTAAAAGGAAAGTGAGGAAGGATAGAGGTAGAATAAAGCCTCTCTGGTCCCTTACAGACATGGGTAATGCTCAGGAAGGTCTGCAGCCTGCAGTTCAGTTGTCTTGCCTCAACAACCTCTCCTAAGGCCTTGCCAGAGTTTGACCAGCAGTTTTCCTCTTTATCTCCCCCGCCACATTTTCTAGAAGGCTTAAATATTTGTTTGAAATAGGCCTGAGGGTTTGTGTGTGTGTGTGTGTATTTCTTTTATAACCAATGACTTTTTTATAGCATCAATGTGTGAGGGGTTTTTTTTTGTTCACCCCAAGAAGTGGTAAGCAAAGCGAGTCTCTACTTTGGACATGAGACATTGGCTGCACCCCCTAGCTCTGCCCTTTCTAGCTACATCATTTAAAGCAATTTATTGACATTTCCAAACTTGTCATTTCATTTTCTGTTAAATGTGGACAACATTGCCTTATTGTAGAGGTTATGTGAACTATGTAGGATATTTCAATATGCCTGGCATGCAGGTGTTCAATGTTAGTGTCCTATTCTTCTGGGGCTTAAATGAAGAAAAGATGGAGAATGGAAGAGAGATTGAGATGGGATGGAGCACGTTCCATTTTCTTATAATAACCATAAACAATTGTCTTTGTGACCATTGGCAGAAGGTAGAAAAAACAAAAGCTATGTATGGTGTGTTCAACTCCTTACTAAAGGTAATGGGCTGCTTAAGCTGGATGCCACAAGTACAAACAAACTGGTTGACAAGACACCAGCAAACAGCCAAGGAAAAATTAGAGGGGCGTGACAATGCAGCCAGGGGAGTTCAGTAGCGTTCCTGAAAGGCTGTGCCAGGGGGCGCTCTAGCTCTGCAAACATTCTAATTACAGCCTCCTTAGCATGCCCCCTTCTCTCATCTCCCACGTCAGCCAAACTGAATTTTCCCACACCAGAGTTTGGGGACCTGAATGTAAGTGTAACTTCAGTTGGGCTGCAGGGTACAAGGTCAGCAGTTTGAAACCACCGGCAGTTCTGCGGGAGAAAGACGGAGTGCTCTACTCTGTGTAGAGATGATGGTCTTCGGCATTCACAGGGGGCACTTCTACTCTGATGTATGGGGGTCACTGTAAGTCAGAATTGCTTGATGACAGTGAGTTTTATTATTATTATTCGAGGGATATAATAGTGCAATCACTCTGGGGAAGCCCTTGAATTTATCCCTGTTTTTGTGCTCTGGTGTATTTTGTGGGGTATTCAATAATGGATAACACATAAATGATTAGCTCTCAGCCACAATACAGTGTTGTATAATGCCCTAGGAACACCATGCATTTCTTACCACCTTTGAACTCCAGTTCTTATGATGACGGGTGTTGTTTTCTGTTATTTAGAGGTAGTCATGAAGTGCAGGGTAGGTTGGTAGGGTGATGGCCTGGGGTAGAGCCAGTCCTACCCATCTCAATCTTCCCAGTAAACACCAAATGGAGAATGAGGATGTGTACGATACACCTGGTTATCACATGATTGGTTTTTATCTATTTTCTTGTAGATAATAGGAAGACCTATAATTACTATAGCACATTGTCATTCACAAGTGACAAATTGTATGATGAATTTGGAAAAGAGGCTTCCAAAAATTTCACAGAAATGAGTCAGAAAATTGAATCAATGGTAAGTGATTTTTTTCTCCTTTTTCTAGGCCATTTGCTATCATTCTGCTATCATAATTTTTAGTATCTCATTAAAGAAACCCATTTACATGCTCCTGGCACATCTTGGCAATATGGGAAGAGGCCCAGCTGAGAGAGAGAACACTGAAGTAAGCATGAGGACACCTAGTGCCAACACCCTTTTCTAGTTAGCAACGTCATTTCTGGACATCACTTAATCATTCTGGATATTCTTTGAAATATGAAAATGATAGCAGTAGATCTGATGATTTCCTAATTTTCTTCCAGTACTAGTTTTTGGAAAAAGAATAGAATGGCAATGAGTTCAGAGAGCAAGCTAAACAGACTAGAAGCCTGAGGATTTGTCCACCTTTCTGGAGAGGAGGTAAAACCTTGGTTGTGTTTATATTTTCAAACACCAAACCAAGGGTATTGGAAGAAGCTCTTCACTAAGGTTCTGTATGGTGTCTTTAGGCATCATTGAGTACGTTCTGCCTGATAGCAACCCACTGCCTGGCTTTGTCTCATCCTCACGATGAGATCTGTGTTGTGGCCACTGTGTCAACCCATTTCATTAAGGGTTTTTCTCTTTTTTTCATGAAACTGCACCAAGCATGATGTCCCCCTTCAGGGATTGCTTTTGTCTGCTGATGTGTTCAGAGTACATGAGATAAAGGATGGCCATTCTTTCTTTTAAGAAACCAAATTATTTGGTTATACTTCTCTCAAAACAATGTTTTATTCATTTTTCTGGCAGTCCATGATATAGTTAATATTCTTTGCCACTAACATAATTCAAAGTCATTAATTCTTCTCAGATTTTGAATTCATATGAGAAAATTTAAATTACCATGGTGTGGATCAGGTGAATGTTAGGTGTGCAAAGTGACATATTTGCTTTTTAGTACTTTAAAGAGATATGTTTTCAGCAGAATCATGGCATTTCTCTGTGTATACATTCAAACATTTATGTTATAGCTTTCCCTCACTATCTGAAAGTAGTGCATCACTATGAAACATTTTACAAACTGGAATGGTGTAAAGCAAAGAACCAGTTGCCATTCATTTATATGGGGAACATTTTTCAGTCTACTCACATCTCAAGAATAACCTAACAAGTCTTACCAAATAGCATATAAAACCTAAATAACATAAATATATAATAGCAAAAGAAGGAAGGATCATGATAAATACATAATCCTTATAAAGTAGAAGTAATACACCGCTGCAATAAATGGCATGGGGCAGGGGGCATATTGGACCTCCTCTGCCTTCCCTAATTTTTTTTTCTGGCTTTTCCCTGTTGCTAAGAGGCAATTGCTGTCAGCTATGCCTGCACACTCTATCCTTCTTTACATACTCTGATGCCAATTGCTCCTCTCATGGCATTCCGCTTCTCTTCTGGGTTCAATAATTTGTTGCAATGGCCACATAGAACTCACAGACAACACTCACAATTATGGGGGTTTATTAGGGAAGTTAGGTTATCACAAATCAGGATCAGTAAGTGGTAAGGATACAGTCATTGGTCTGTAGTATGGCAACACCACTCCTCATTCAGCAACCAAGTCTCTATCTGATCCTCAGCCAGGTAGTCCTTGGCTTACCAGGAAGTCCACCCGTCACTCTGTCTCTCAGTCCCACAGTCTTGGCACTGCTTCTCTTGCTTTGTCTCATAGTCTCTGTGCTCGTCTCTGGTGCCTCTGGTCTTCGTCTCTGCCACTTCAGACAATGTGGCTCTCTGGATTGCCCTGGGATTTCTCTCTCTGCTGCTGCTGCTTCAAAAATAGTTCATCCTTATAGCTAAAGGGTTGTAATGAAAACTGGTCAATCCCTTCTATTAGTGCTTTACACGCCCTATTTTCATAGTCCAACCCAATTTGTGGGAATTCCAGAGAGAGGTAGCAATTTCACTCCATCCCAATCCATATGTACAATACAGTTCCCAGGAAGGAGCTTGGCAACACCACCTTACTCTTCCAGATACACACTGCCTCTTTAATTGCGACAAAACAAACCCTGAATGCTAGTTTCCCTTCTTACCTTTTTTTAACCATAACAGCAAAGACATTCGTTGTATTTCCTTCAGCTAGTGAAAATAGGCACCAATGTAGGTCTTGTGTAAAAGGGAAATGACATAAAGAGAACTTTGAAAAGTGCAGATATCTATGCATGTACACATATATACAAACACACAATACACATAGAGCTCCCAAGTTCACTGCCATAAATTTTATTTTTGCATACAAGTTAGTTTCAAAAAGCTCATGGAAAAATTCCGTTATCTTTTAATTTATTAATTTAATTTATTATTAATTTAACCCATGTTAAAAAATACAAATATAATACATTCTAGATTATAATATGCTACATTTGTATTTGGCCCAGCTACTATTAATACAATTATTTCATCTTCTTTACCTATGTGCAATCGAAGCCCTCAACTCCTGTAATTATTAAAGCAAAGTTTAACTGAAATCACTGTAGAATACCCAAAAGAGCCCTCAAGTTCAGGACATTGTGAAATGTCTTACAGTTTTGAATTAACTTTCAGAATTTCAGAAAATTGTTCTTATTGATAGATTTTGAATATTTTTGAACAGGTGAAAAATGCATTTCTTAAGTCTCAACTAAAGGAAGAATTTGTCAAGTCTCAAGTTATCAAATACAGGTATGTTGATTTAAAATGCTGGCTATGGAATAAATTAAAACCTTGAAACAGCTAACTTTGCTATAAATAAACATCTTCTGAAGGTTGTATTATATACTTTAATTAGATAAATACTTACCACCTACTTTCTGTAGCTTATTGGTTATAATAGACCTTAAAATTCAAAGCCCAAATAGTTGTTCCTGAGTTGATCCCAACTCACAGAGAGACCATGTGTGCCAGAGCAAAGCTGTTCCACAGGGCTTCAGATGACTGACTTTTTAAAAGTAAATGGCCAAGTGCTTTCGGACGAACTCAAATCTGGAACCCTTTGGTTGGTAGCTGAGCACTTTAGTAATTTGCACCTTGCTTTACTCAATGTCTATATCCAAAAGTCAGCCATTGTGAACTGATAACTGGGGGCAGGAGTGTAGTTGGTGGCTAGGCTCTAATATGGTTCTTTGGGAGATAGAACAGTAGCAGAAATAGACACTTGGCCTACATTCTTTGGTTTCATAACATATATGTACTGCCCTATGTAATATAATGCTGTAAATGGTTTATTTTTAGTTTTTTGCTTCTTGTCTTCATTGATTTTTCAACTTGCTTCTATTACCTTCCTTTCTACTTCAAATATATAGCTGAAAACATATTAGGTCTAATCAACCATCAATAAGAATACAAGTTCCGAGCCTTACATTTTAAGCAAAATACTAGGTTGTTTTTAGGTGCGATTGAATCAGTTCCGACTCACAGCTACCTGGCGAACAACAGTCTGAAACACTACCTGGTCCGGCCCTGTCCTCACAGTAGTTTCTATGTGTGAACAACATTGTCGGAGCCACTGTGTCAGTGCATCTCCTCTTTTTCCATGCCCCTCTACTTTACCAAGCATGATGTCTTCCTCTAGGAACTGGTGTCTCCTGACAATTTGTCCAAATTTCTTGAGATGAAGTCTGCCATCCTTGCTTGTAAGGTGCATTCTGGTTGTATTTCTGTCAAGACAAATCTTTTGTTCTTTTGACAGTCCATGGTACTTTCAATATTCTTCACCAGCACCGTAATTCCAATGCCTTGATTCTTCTTTGGTCTTCCTTATTTAATGTCCAACTTTCACATGCAAATGAGGACATTGAAAATACTGTGATTTGAGTCAGCAACAACTCAGTCCTCAAAGCAACATTCTTGCTTTTCAGCATTGACAGAAGCCTTGTGCTGCAGATTTACCTGATACAGAGCATCATTTCATCTCTTGACTGCTACCTCCATGAGCACTGATCTTTGACAACTTTAATTTTTTTCTGTTGATCACGATGTTACCTAGAGGCCCAGTTGGGAGGATTTATGTTTCTTTTTTTAACCTTGAGTTAGAATCCAGGTGGAAGGCAGCATCCTTGTTCAAGTCCTTCTCACTTCCTCAAGAAGCTTGTGTCATCCGCAGGTTGTTCATAAGCCTGCTTCCAATCCTGGTTCTGTATTCCTTTTCATGTAATTCAGCGTTTTGCATATCTGCTCAAAATATGGATGGAATAAGTATGGGGAGAAGATCCAACCTTTCTACACCTAGTCTGGTTTTGAACCATGCAGCATTCCTTGTTCTGATTGGACAACTGCCTCTTGCTCTACCTGGACAGGTTCCAAATGAGCACAAGAAAGCGTTATGAAATTCCCATTCTTCTCCAGGTGATCCTTAGTTTGTTCTGATCCACATAGTTTAATGCCTTGGCTTAGTCAATAAAACACAGGTAAACATCTTTCAGCTAGTCTCTGCTTTCAACCAAGATCCATCTGACTTTAGCAATTAGATCCCTAGTTTTGTGACCTCTTCTCAGTCAGACCTGAACCTCTAGCAGCTTCCTGTCAATGTACTGGCACAACCAATGTTGTGTGATCATCAGCAACAATTTGACTTTCATGTGATATTAATTACATTGTTCTATAGTTCAAGTATTCTTTGGGGTCAGCTGTTTTTGGAATAGGTAAGTATATGGATCTCTTCTAGTCAGTTGGCCAAGTAGCTGTCTCCCAAATTTCCTGGTGAGTGCTTTCAGTGCTTCATTAGCTTGTTAAAACATTTTAATTGGTATTTCACCAATTCCTGGAGCCTTGTTCTAGTCTTCCTGCATGAAAGCTTTCACTGCCACATGTATTTCTTACTTCAGTACCATTCTTTCTTGCTAAAATGCTACCTCCTGAAATGGTGGAATGCTGACTAATTCTTTTTGGCACAGTAAATCTGGGCATCCTTTCCATCTTCTTCTGATGCTTCCTGCATCATTCTGGATTTTGTCCATAGGATCTATGAGCAAATACTATGCTAGAGCTTTAAATAATGTACCCTGTTAGCATCCATTATTTATAATTTTCAAACATAGGATAATGAGAATGGTTTTCATTATGATTTCAATAATAAAAATTCAAGACTGATGACATCTGTGGCATGCTGTGTTGACTACTTTCTCCTGAAAATTCTGTACTGCCTTTTAAAATAAATCTGTATCTACTTTTCTGATCATTACATTCTCACTTTCTTCAGGTGTCTTCAACCACCCTAAAAAAATCCAAATCCCTAATGCCATTCTCAATTATTTTAATTATTTCTAGAACTTTTTGCCTGACAATGAACATTGCCACATGAAAATGCCATAGAAACTTCCCTAACTGAGGAAGTACTTAGTCACCTTAATGAGAAATTTGGAAGACATCATACATTCTTACCTTTCCTGGGTCCCTCACACTTTGACACCCCCTTCCTTTCTCCAGCCTCTCCCTCACCCATGTCCCCCCAGAACCATTGGTCCTGGTTGTTTTCTCCTCTGAATTGTTGTCTAGGTAGACATGCAGAGACAACAGGAAGCACAAAAACAAGACAAAGCCAGACAAAACAACAAAGGAAGACAAAACAAAACAACAACAATTTAAAAAAAAGGAAAAGCCTATAAATAGTCCGAGGTCAGTTTGTTGACCTTTAGGAGTGCTTTCCAGTTGAGTCTGATGGGGTGCCACGCTCTGGCCCCAAAGTCTATTTTTGGTATTTCCTGGGGACTTCATTGCTTCGCTTCCCTTGCAGCTCTGTTGCATGTCCTTAGTGTTTCGCCCCAGTGTGATGGGATCAGATTGGGCACAATTCCCACACGGTGTCTCCTATGTTGTCCCCTATAGTGCTATGGTTCAGTGAGGGACATCAGGTCTCATAGTGGGGCTGACCATATGGTCCTCTCTGTGCATTGGCTGCTCTGAACAGGAATATCATCCTCAGGGCTTGGTGGGCCAGGTTGTGTTCCACTCTCTCCTTCCCTCTTCATTTGCTCCCGTGTGCTCTGATCAGAGGTGCCCCTCTCCCTGAGCTGTAACTTCAGTGTTGTCCTCTGAAGTCCATTCTTCTGGGAGGGGAGAAGGCATCCACATAGTTGGGATTGGGGCTGACCCCTCAGGGTCCCTCACACTTTATAAATAGCTAAGTACTAGAAATTTTATCAATGAACTCTCATGGTACTGGGGTTAAGCACTTGGCTGTGAATGAAACCCAGTTATTCCACGGGAGAAAGTGACACTTGGTTTCTTTCTTCTTAAAAAAATTATTATTATTATTATAAATCATTCTATTGGGGGCTGTTATCTTATTACTACTCTTATCACAATCCATACATCCATCTATTGTATCAAGCACATTTGTACATTTGTTGTCATCATCATTCTTAAACATTTTCTTTCTACTTGAGCCCTTGGTATCAGTTCCTCATTCTTCCCCTCCCTCCCCACCCCCTCCCTCCCAAACAATTGATAATTTATAAATTATCATTATTTTGTCATATCTTACACAGTCTGATGTTTCCCTTCACACACTTTCTGTTGTCCATCCCCCATGGAGGGGGTTATATGGAGGTCCTTGTAATTGGTTTCCCCCTTTCTGCCCCACCTTCCCTCCACCCTCCTGGTATTGCCACTCTCACCACTGGTCCTGAGGGGTTCATCTGTCCTAGATTCCTGGTGTTTCCAGTTTCTATCTGTACCAGTGTACATCCTCTGGTCAAGCTGGACTTTTAAGGTAGAATTGGGATCATGATAGTGAGGGGGGAGGAAGCAAGTTGTATATTCCATCGTTGCTACACTGCACACTGACTGGCTCATCTCCTCCCCGCAACCCTTTTGTAAGGGGATGTCCAGTTGCCTACAGATGGGCTCTGGGTCCCCACTTTGCATGCCCCCTCATTCACAATGATATCATTTTTTGTTCTTTGTTGCCTGATACCTGATCCCATCAAAACCTCATGATCACACAGGCTGGTGTGCTTCTTCCATGTGGGCTTTGTTGCTTCTGAGATTGATGGCCGCTTGATTACCTTCAAGCCTTTAAGACCCCAGATGCTATACTTTTTGATAGCCGGGCACCATCAGCTTTCTTTGCCACATTTGCTTATGCACCCATTTGTCTTCAGTGATCCGTTCGACACCTCGTGATCACACAAGCTGATATGTTGTTCCATGTGGGCTTTGTTGTTTCTGAGCTAGATGGCTGCTTGTTTACCTTCAAGCTTTTAAGACCCCAGACACTATATCTTTTGATAGCCGGGCACCATCAGCTTTCTTCACCACATTTGCTTATTCACACGCTTTGTCTTCAGCGGTTGTGTCGGGAAGGTGAGCATCCTAGAATGCCAATTTAATAGAAGAAAGTATTCTTGCATTGAGGGAGTACTTGAGTGGAGGCCCAATGTCCTTCTGCTACCTTAATACTAAACCTATAAATATAGGCACATAGAGCTATTTCCCCATCCTCATATAAATATATTTGCATATGTACATGCCTTTATCTAGACCTCTATAAATTCCCTTTGCCTCCCAGCTCTTTCCTCTATTTCCCTTGATTTCTGAGATATTTTGAAAGTCACATTTTCCTCCTTTTTTATTGCTCTACAGTCAAGGGTATCATGGAGTGTTAGCTCATATGCTGCTAATATTTAAATTTCGCTCTACTGAGGATCTTCGAAATATAAATAAAAGTATCCAACGTGTTCTACAGGAGAAGTTGCAATATGCTACAGGGCCCCCTAAGTTAGATCCCGAATCAGTAGAAATTACAAGTAAGTATATTTCTCATATTCAATTTACTTTCTTTACATGTCATAGTTCAAAATTGGCTTTAATTTTGGACATTTTAAAATATACTTTAATTCTGGGAACTTGTTATTAATAGAAAATGCTTTGGAAACTAATTACTGAATCAAAAAATTTTTTAAAATTTTAACTTTTAAAACTATCATAAGCTTGTTTTTCATGAAAACCTGTCATTAACTTGTGGCTAAAAGTTCTTTTTATATATTGGGTCTCATGTTTTAGCTCTGTCATAAAAAATGATAGAGTCTGATTTTTAGTAAGTATGAATGAAACATATGTGTTCTTCCGTGGAAACAAGGTTCTGGTTAGGGGATGGTTATTCCATATAGCAGTGCTGGCTAATAATACACAAGTCAGCTGTATGGGTGCCTTAAATTTTCTAGTAGCTGTATTATGTAAAATGAGAAGAAAACACTACAAACATCTATTAGTAATTAATATTAAGAATGTACAAAATATAAATATATCAATATTGGAAGTCATAAAAAATGAAATGGTCTGCATGAAGATCAATATTCTGGGCAGTATTGTTAGGTGAAGTTGAGTTGGTCCAACTAATAGCAACCTTATGTACAGCAGAATATAACACTGCCTGGTTCTACAACAGCCTCACAATTGTTCTTTTGTTTGAATCCATGATTACAGTCACAGTGCCAAGTCATTTTGAAGAGGGTCTTCCTCTAATTCGATGCCCTTCTACTTCACCAGGCACAATGTCCTTCTCCAAGTTCTGGTCTCACCTGATACCATGGCCAAAATATGTAAGATGAAGTACCCTCCATCCTTGATTCCATGGAGAATTCTGTCTGTTTTTCTTCCAAGCAGAATTGTTTGTTTGTTTTTTTTGGCAGTCTATGATAATGTCACTATTCTCCACCAGCACCATAATTCAAATGTATGTATTCTTCTTCAGTCTTTCTTATTCAATGTCCAATGGTGAATTGGTATTGGATAGTTTGAATCTGACAATCAAATGATTTTCTCTGCTGGTAATGACAAACTCAAGAGGAATGATATAACATTTATTATCAAAAATGACATTTCAAAATCTATCTTGAAATACAATACTCTCTGTGAGAGGATAATATGTATCTACCTACAAGGAAATCCAGTCAATACAACTATTATTCAAATTTATTCAAGAGCCACTAAAGCTAGTGATGAAGAAATTGAAGAATATAAAATTCTTCATTCTGAAGAACACATCAAACATGTAGCCAAGATGCATTGTTATTATTGGCAAATGGACAGCAAAAGTTGTTAACAAAGAGGAAGGAATAGTAGTTGGAAACATGACTTTGGTGATAGAAACAAATCTAGAGATTGCATGATAGAACTTTGCAACATTAATAACTTCTTCGTTGAAAATACCATTTTTCATCAACACAAACAGTGACCATATAAGTGGCCTACTTCAGATGGGAATGAAGCTGACTACATCTATTAGAAGAGACTATGGAGAAGCTCAATGACAGCAACTAAAATGAGGCCAGGGACTGACTGTGGAGCAGACCATCAATTGCTCATATGTAAGTTCTGGTTGAAAATGAAGAAATTTTAAATAAGTTCACAAAAGGTAAACTGTGACTTTGAGTATATCTCATTTGAATTTTGAGAACATCTGGAGAGTAGATTTGACCCATTGAACATTAATGATAGAAGACCTGAGAAGAGATCAGTATGGATGTCAGAAAAGACTCATATATTTTTTGATCATAGAGTAGCTAAAGCAAATGGAAGAAATGATGAAGTCAAAGTGCTGAACAGAACATTTCAAAGGGCAGCTCAAGAACACCAAGTGAAATATTATAATGAAATGTGCAAAAAACAGTAGTCAGACAACCAAAGAGGCATGCCCAGCAGTTTAAGATATGCTTAAACTGAAGAAACTGAGGAAAAATCCAACCCCGAGTTACAATATTGAAAGATTCTATGGGCAAAAATATTGAACCTTACAGGTTCAAAATATTGAACCAAGCATCAAGAGAAGATGGAAAGAACACATAGTCACTGTACCAAAAAGAAGTAGTCAGCATTCAATCATTTCGAGAGGTACCATATGATTAAGAACTAATTGCACTGAAGGAAAAACTGCAGGCTGCACTGAAGACTTTAGCTAAAAAACAATGCTCCCAAGAAGTGATGGAATACCAATTGAAAAATTTCAACAAGATGACAAAGCACTGGAAGCGCTCATTTGTTTATACCAGGAAATTTGAAGACAGTTACATGGTCAACTGACTGGAAGAAATCTATATTTGTTCCCATTCCAAAGAAAGGGGGCACAACAGTATTTGAAAATTATAGAGCAAAAATATTGATATCACCCAAAAATAAAATTTTGCTTATGATCATCCCAAAATGGTTGCAGAAGTACATGGACAGCTACCAGAGGTTCAGGCCAGATGTACAAGAAGACATTGAACAAGAGATATCATTGCTGACATTAGATGAATCTTGGCTGAAAACAGAGAATGCCAGAAAGATTTTTACTTTGTTTTATTGAATATGCACAACCATTTGACTGTATGGATCATAATCCACTATGGATAACCTTCAGAAGGATGGGAATTTAAGAAAGTTTCATTATGCTCATGTAGAACCTGTAAAAAGAACCAGGGAATATTACATGGTTTAAAATCAGGAAAGGCATGCATCAGAATTGTATACTCTCACCATACTTGTTCAATCTATATGCTGAGCAAATCATCAGAGAACATGGATTATATAAAGAATGGGGAAGCAGGATGGGAGGGAGTCTGATTAAAACCTGCCCTATGCAGATGACACACCTTCCTTGCTGAAATTGAGGAGGACCTGAAATGGTTGCTGATGAAGATCAAGCATTGCAGCCATGAATATGAATTACAACTCAAAGTAAAGGAAACCAGTATCCTCATAATTGAAAAATAGCTAACATCATGATAAACAGAGCCAAGACTGATGCTGTCAAGTAATTCAGGTTGCGTGGGTCCACGATGAATGCTGAAAGTAGCAGGAGTCAAGGAATCAAGCAACACATTACATTGGGTGAATCTGGCATGCAGACCTTTCTGAAATGTTGAAAAGCAAGGACATAGTACTAAGGTGTGCCAGATCCAAACTATGGTGTTTCAACATATGAAAATTGGACATTAAATAAGGAAAACTAGGGAATAATTGATATATTTGAATTATAGTGCTGGCAAAAATATTGAGAGTACCATGGATAGCTAAAAGAACAAACAAATCTGCATTGGAAGATGTACAGCAGGATGCTTCTTAGAAACAAGGATGATGAGACTTCATTTCATATACTTTGGTCAAGTTATCAGGAGGTCAGTCCCTAGGAAAGGACAGCACGCTTGGTAAAGTAGAGTGGCAGCAAAAAAGAGGCAGACCCTTGACAAGATGGGTTGACACAGTGGCTACAGCAAAGGGGTCAAACATAACCATTGTGAGGATGGTGCTGGACCAGGGAGTGTTTTGTTATGTTGTATACAGTGTCATTCCATGGCACCTGACAACATCATATTATGTAAAAGGACGCCTGGTGGCATAGTGAGTTAAGAGTTGGATTTCTAATGGCAAGTTACTCAGAGGGAGAAAGATGAGATTTCCTGCCCCATTAAAGAATGACAACCTCAGAAACCCACAGACGTAGTTCTACTCAGATATGTAAGGTTGCCACGAGCCTGAATTGAGTCAATGGCAATGATATGTAAACATAAGCATATTATAACAACCTCAGGTTGAAAGACACTCAAAATACCTCTGGGGAAGAGCTGCTTCCTCATGGTAGAGTAGATCTTAATGGACTGGGTGGAGTAAACATTTCAGAACCTGTATTTGTTGATGATGCCTGGCTCAAAATGAGACGTAACAGCTACAAACATCCATTAATAATTAAAATATGGAATATACAAATAATAAATCTAGGAAGATTAGAAGTCATCAAAAATGGAATAGAATGCATAAAGATCAAGATCCCAGGCATTAGTGAGCTGACATGAGCTGTGATTGGCCATTTTGAGTTTGACAATCATATGGTTAACTGTGCTGAATGTGGAAAACTACTGACTGGATACTTGGCGAGTTGTGTGATATCATCAAGAATATCAGATATGAATAAATCAGAAGGTCACTGAAAAGTGGGAAAGAAAGAAAAGACCAAAGAAAAAGAGTAAAGTACATGTCAGAAGAGACTCTGAGACTTGCTCTTGCTCATAGAGTAGTTAAAGCAAAAAATGAAGTAAAAGAGCTGACAGAACATTTCAAAAGGCCGCTCGAGAAGACCAAGTCAAATATTATAATGAAATGTGCAAAGATCTAGAGTTAGGAAACCAAAAGGAAGAACACATTCAGCATATCTCAATCAGAAAGAATTGAAGAAAAGTGCAATCTTCAAATTGAAATACTGAAGGATTTTTTGGGCAAAATCTTGGACCAAGCAGGAAGTATGAGAAGGAGATGGGAAAACACATGGACTGCCAATTGAAATGTTCCAACGAGCTGATGTAGCACCCACTCTTCCAGGAAATTTGGAAGAGAGCTATCAGGACAACTGACTGCAAAAGATTCATGTTGTTGTTGTTGTCAGGTGACATTGAGTTGGTTCCAACCCACAGCAACCCTGGGCACGTCAGAATGAAACATTGCCTGGTTCTGCACCGTCCTCACAATTATTCCCATGCTTAAGCCCACGGTTGTAGCTGCTGGGTCAATCTGTCTTGTTGAGGCCTTTCCTGTTGTTCACTACCTCGCGACTAAGCATGATGTCCTTCTCTACAGACGGCTGTCTCCTGGCAACATGGTCAAGGTCTGTAAGATGAGGTCTCACCATCCTTGCCTCTCAGGAGTACTCTGGTGGTACTTCTTCCAAGACAGATTGGTTAATCATTTTAGCATTCCATGGTACTTTCAACATTCTTCTTCAGCACCACAATTCAAAAGCATATCGGTGCTCATTTTTTAAACAAGGGACCCAACAGAATGTTGAGATTATCAAATAGTACTAGTAATAACACATAAAATAAAATTTGCCAGATACTGTATATACTCGCGTATAAGCCAAGTTTCTCAGCACATTTTTCAAATGCAGTTTTTGTGGTAAAATTGGGTGTCTCGGCTGATATTCGGGTCAGCTTATACTTGAGTATATATGGTAACTAAAATAAGATAATTAAAAAATGGTTGCATCAGTACATCAACTGCAAGAGATTGATGCTGAATTCAGAAGAGGACATGTCACAAGGGATATCATTATTGATGTCAGATGGCTCTTTGCTGAAAGTGGAGAATGTCACAAACATATTTATCTGGTTGTTTTTTATTTGTTTTTTTTTTTTTTTTATTAAAATTTGTTTTAATGGGTATCCAAATTCTGTGACAAATTTTTGGTCAAGTGGTTTTCCACTACAAAAGTACTGATTTCAAAAACTAATAACTTAAAAAATCATTTTATTGGGGGCTCATGCAACTCTTATCACAATCCATACATCCATCCATTGTGTCAAGCATATTTGTACATTTGTTGTCATCATCATCATCTCAAAACATTGCTTTCTCCTTGAGCTCTTGGTATCAGCTCCTCATTCAAAAACTAATAACTTAAGACTGTCAGACAAAAAGAAATATATGGTCCATCTCCTTTTTATTGACTATGCAACAGCGTTTGTGTGGATAATAATAAACTATAAGTAACATTGTGAAACAAGGGCATTCCAGAGCACTTCATGATGTTCATGTGGAACTTATACCTAGACCAAGAGGCATTTGTTTGAAAAGAAAAGGGAATAATGTAGGATTTAAAATCAAGAAAAGTGCCCAGCAGAATTGGACTCTTTCACTCTGCTGATTCAGACTGTTTGCTGAGCAAACACTGTGAGAAGCTGGCCTCTAAGAAGAGGGACATTGAACTGGGATTGGAGAAGGACTTACTCATAACCTTTGATGTTCAGATGATGCAACCGTGCTTGCTGAAACATAGAGGATTTGACACTGTGGTGAACTCAAATACTGGAATGGCTGTGATGGTGGAAGACCCATCAGTACTTTGTGTGGCTGAACATAGATCTGCTAAGTATCAGAGTGACTTGGCAGCACCCAACAACAACAGCAGCAACAGCATCAATACAGCATGCCTCGGAATTGATCCCACAACACCCAGCAACAAAAAGAACAACAATAATCCAATATACTATCATTTCAGTAATAGTTAATGTGAAAACACTTAAATGCTATGCTTTTCATTCTTCTTGATTGTTACGAAGACTTTTGATTGGATCCACAATCAATGTTCATAGAAGTAGCAGTCAAAATATGAAAAGACGCTTTGCATTAGGTAAATCTACTGCACAAGACCTCTTTGGAGCATTGAAAGCAAGAATGTTACTTTGAGGACTAAGTATTTTCCATTGCCTCATATGGATTTGAATGTTGGACACTAAATAAGGAAGATCAAAGAAGAATCAATGCAGTTGAGTGGATTGCGGTGCTGGAGAAGAATGTTAAAAGTACCATGGACTGCTAAAAGGACAAATGGATTTGTCTTGGAGGAAGTATGTCCAGAACACTCCTTAGAGGGAAGGATAGTGAGGCTTCATATTATATACTTTGGACATGTTGTCAGGGGAGACCAGTCCTTGGAGGTGGTCTCCCTCCCTACCGAACATCATGTTCGGTAAAGTGGAGGGGCAGTGAAAAAGAGGAAGGCTCTCAGGAAGATGGGTTGATGTTCTGGCTGTAGCAGTGGGCTCAAGCACAGGGAACAATTGTGAGAATGGCACAGGACCGGGCAGTGTTTCATTCTGTTGTGCACGGGGTTCTTATGGGTTGGAACCATCTCAATAGCACCTAACAATAAGGTCTTACAATCTACTGTATATGTTATACTTATTGAACGTTTTATTCAGACTAGCCACGTTCATCCTGCTACATTCCAAGAAAGTCAGAAAGTAGAAGAGCATAGAGTTTTATGTATCCATTATTTTGTTTAAGGTTTGAAGAGGAATAATTTAACAAGTTAAGAGTCTATTGGCTGAAGTTGAACAACAATTTAGGGTAAACTGTATTCCTAAAACCTTAGCAGCAGAAAGATTTAGAAGTGGATAACATTATTTTTTAATAGGAGCAAGGATTGTTATAGAGAAGCCACACGGTTATGTTTAAAAATGATAATGTGACTATGAGTTTATTAAAATAATCTGAAAGAAGGGTCAGTGGCAATATTATTACATCTGGGGAATCAGTGTTATGGTGTAGACAGGTCTTTCCCCTAAGGGAGGATGTACTCAACTGCCTCTTACCTCTTAGTATAAAATTCAGATTTCTGGGCTTCAGTGTTGACCTACTTAATTAGAATTACTGGGACAAAGGAACAGAAATCTATACTACAAAGATACTCCTGTGAGGCTCATGTTCACACAAATGTTTAAGAAGCACTGTTCAAATCTCCCTTTTTCCAAAGGCAGGAAACGTACTATGCTTATGAAAACCTGGGCTGTGTTCCTTATATCCTACATAACTGCAACTATGCAGTGGTTTCATATTTGAAGCATTGAGAGGCTTCATATAATTATGATATGCTAAACTAATTCTATTAATCATTTTTATGTATTTCAGAACTCAACAAGACAGAAACAGATAACTATCTGAACAGTTGTAAGTTCAAGATTTTTATTAAAATGTGAAGGTTAGCACCCTAGGCTTACTTCTATTTGGTATCAGAGGGATAGAATAGATAAACTTTGATTGCTTTGTGCACAACTCACGTTCTTTGTTTTATCTGTGATACATACTTTATTATTACTAAAGAAAAAATAGAACTTCAGAGTGATTGGATGAGAGCCTGAGAAAGATGTGTGGTGGAAAGGATTTATGTAAAAACAGAGAGGAGGCAAAAAGTTCATTCACTTCTCAGTGTTCTGATTGGAGACATTCAGACCATATTCTCACAAGAGTTTTCATAGACTATATAAAAATAATGTCTGAACTGACATTACATTGCTAATCCTATGTTACTGAAATGACAGGCAATTTTATGGAGTTGGTGGTATATGTTACTGAAGCTAGTAAAGACCTGAATATCTTTATCTACATTTAAAAAATGTAGCTCTATACCTACTATGCTTAATATTTATGGAAACAAAATATTTATACATTTATCTTAAATATGAAGAAACATGCTACTCACTAGTTTGGAATGTTAATTAATTCATAATTGATTTAAACCTCAAATGAAAAATGAATTCCTTTATATATACGTGTGTGCAATTTTAAAAAATTTGTGGCAACATTGTGACGTCCACAACTAATCCAGTGTAGGGACAGGAAAGCAGCTAGATAATGCATTCTGGAGGAGATAACAATTGATTTGAATGTTTAAAAAACATTAAGAGTTAAATGAAGCATTACAGTTTAAGAAATGGTAATGCCAAGAGTAAGTGCTTGATGTTATTGGAATACAAATTATAAGTAACATGGGGCTTAACATCATTTTCCTTGGTAGGCTGTGGAACTCGAAGGAGCAAATCTACCGGGCAGGGTCTCAGGATTGTTGGTGGCACAGAGGTAGAAGAAGGGGAATGGCCATGGCAAGCTAGCCTGCGGTGGGATGGAGTCCACCGCTGTGGGGCCACGTTAATTAACAGCACGTGGCTTGTGAGCGCGGCTCACTGCTTTAAGACGTAAGTACTGAATCTCTTTTCTTTTCTTTTTAAAGATCATTTTATTGGGGACTCTTATAGCTCTTATCGTATTATGCTTACACCATACATCAATGGTATCAAGCATACTTGTACATATGTTACTATTATCATTTTCTAAACATTTCCTTTCTATTTGAGCCCTTGATAAGCACTGAATCTTATAAATAGAGAACCACAGTGAACAAACTGGGTGGGAAACTTTGCAGGGAGAAATACTTCAAGGTGTGAAAGTTCAGTGTAAACTTAATAAAATGCACATATCACAGAGAGAGGGGTCAACTCATAAACCTTGGAGTTGTATCATTTGGAAATGGAGATGGCGTAAAAGGACAGTGTGTAAATTATCAGGCCATAAATCTTCAATAAGTTGTGAGAAGAAATAGAAATATTAAAGTTATCTTTAAAGGATTTAAATTTTCTGTCAAGGGATGAATTGTACCTCTTCCCTGCTGCCCGGAACGAACACTGGGTAGATTGTGGGCGGGACCCTACTGGGATACTTTGACATGGAAAGAAAGATAAGATCTGTATGAAGAAATGTTCACACATCAAATTATACAAATGGAAAGGTTGGCCTGTTATATGCAAAGGAACAGGTGACATTTCAAACTCGTGCTAAAATGTCTACATGATACAGCATATGTTCTCATTCTTCACACGCACGTACACACACATACACACACAGTAGACAGCGTACATTTTATAGTAACACTTTGCTAAATTACTCAAAGGCCTCTGTGGTTTTCAGAGGAATGTATACAAGTATGTTTGTGGGTAGGAGTCATGGGGCACATAAAATATATTTATTCCCTTCAATCTGCATAGAATATGCTTTCCAGATGTCCCTGTGGAGTCACTGATGTTCAGTCATCATAATACCTTATGATTTGGGAGTGGGTGGTATTTCCATCTGTGATTTGACTCTTGAGTCTGGTCACCAGATTGCAAAGTGTTTTGTTTTAATACACAGAGAAGCTTTAATTTTTAAAAGAAGATGTCCTTCTGACACTCGCACACCAACTTAGTGAATATAAAATCTTTATATTGGAGGCATGGTAAAGCAGGATTTATTCTTCCTTCTTGATCCCCAGGTATAAGGATCCCAGCAGGTGGACGGCTTCCTTTGGAGTGACACTGACGCCTTCTAAACGGAAGTATGGCTTCCGGAGGATAATTGTCCACGAGCAGTACAACTCCCCGGCTCATGACTACGACATCGCAGTCGCAGAACTTGCTCGGCCCGTGCCTTACACAAATGCCGTCCATAGAATTTGCCTTCCTGATGCTTCTCACGAGTTCCACCCCGGGGAACAAATGTATGTGACAGGCTTTGGAGCACTGCACAATGATGGTGAGCCTCTGAACCGAAACTCAAATCAAAGGAAAATAATTTGGTACTATAATGCATTTGAAACCATGGAATGTTATGCCAAAATACACTGATTGGTTGTCTAATTGTTCCTCTTCATAACAACCCTGTAAGGCAGAAGAGAACTGCCTGATATTTTCCTAGGCCATAAATCATTTTTTTTAAAAATCTCGCTTGGCTTTAAAAAATAATAATTTTATTAGGGGCTCATACAACTCATCACAATGCATACATACATCAGTTGTGTAAAGCACATTTGTACATTCATTGCCCTCATCATTCTAAAAACATTTTCTCTCCACCTAA